ATATATATATATATATATGGGTTAGAATTTTTATTTTACAAAAGTTGGAAATAATAACTGCCCCTTGCATAGTGATTGCTGGACATGGGCACCGGCAACCCCCATGACCCAAAAATGGAAGAAGCGGGTACAAGATAACAGATGGATGGATGGATGGATGGATGGATGGATGGATGGATGGAAATAATAATACGTAGATCTAACAAAGTTAAGTCAGGTCGTATGGACGGATGCAAAAAAACATACTCAGCTCCTCAGGTTGACAAAGTCTTTTGGATTAAAGACTAAATGTTTCAACATTTATTTTATTTTATTTACTGTTTGCATCCGTCTAGAGGATGTGACTTATCTTTGTTATAATTTTCTACCCGGATTATTGAGCATGCATCAAGATTGTAACACATAGACACTATTTCTAATTCATTACTGCACAAATACAAAGTGACTTTTTTTTTTTTTTTTTTTTTTTACCCTATTGCCAGGATCACAGGCTAGTTAATGTCTACCCAACAGTTCTTTTGGAAACACTGATTCACATCTTTTTTCTCTGCTATCAGTATTCTGATCAAGGTCAGTTAAATAGCAGCAGTTTGATGGTGTGAACGTGATGGGGTGCTTCGTCTCTGTATAACCTGTGCAGACTACATTGTACCAATCCAGCCATTAATCAGGTGTTGTGTGCAACAAGGGCCAGGTGGGGATTGGCTGAAGACACAACTCTCATGTTAGCAGATATAAGGCTCTTTCAGAAGAATGTTTCACAAAATGCCCACGCATCACATTCTGTGTTTATGCTCCCTCTGGCAGTTCATAAGTCACCGATGGAGCCGATCCCTGCCCGCACTCAAATGAGCTTTAAGAGTACAGCAAGCAGTGCAGATTAATAAAGGAGTGGGGAAAATAAATAAATAAATAAACAACAGCTTTGTGTTGATCCACGCGTAATATGTGCGACAGACATATAAATACCGTAACATCTCCAAAGACATGTTGAATTAACGTGAAGTAGCATGTAGCCATATAATCAATCGCCCCAAAAGTTCAAATCCAAAAGGAGTCTGGCTATGGTGGTTTGCCGTTTAAATCCCACGGCTGGGTGGTCGGCGAAAGTGACAGTCAGCACGTTGTCACGTTATTCTAATTAGTTGGAGCTGCAAATCCAGCCCACAGTTTCAGATGTCGACAGTTTCAGGTCTGTTACTACCTTGCTCTGAGGCGTTACGGAGGTAGGGTGTTTCAGTCCCCCCTCTTTGCCTCCTTGTGTGTTCTGATCTGAATGGATCGAGGTGGAGAGAAGAAATGTCAGTCCTGAACTTAGGCGTCTTGTTAATGAGCCTATAAATTATAGAAAGGTTGAAGGTGGAAAAAAAATGTCAATGCCTCAACTTCCTTTTTCTTTCACAAAGGTGGTGTGTACCTTCTCATACTGTACACTAGGCCTGTCACGATAACACATTTTGCTGGGCGATTAATTGTCGCAGAAATTATTATACTGTTTGAAATTGAACAGTACTTAATAGTAAATTTTGGACTTGTGACTTGTCCAGGGTGTACCCTGCCCCTCGTAGAGTGATTGCTGGACATGGGCACCGGCGACCCCCGTGAAGCAAAATGGAAGAAGCGGGTAAAAGATAATGGATGGATGGATGGATGTTGATTTGTTTGGGGTGTAGTACCTTTTTTAAACACCTGATGGCAGTATAAGACTGATTGAGCCAAAGGATGGATAGTTGAGCAGCGTGTCTCTTTAAGAACAATGTGAGGGAGGGCCCTTGACATGACATAGGCTGTCTCTCGGTTCTCAAAATGGCGGACACTCTGTGTGATTTGAGCTCTTTAGCATAGCATTTTTCCACGCAAAGCTTTTAATAATAAAAACAAAAAAAGTAAACAAATTCTCAGCTTCACAAAGTTTGTTTTCTCAGTCATCCAGGTATATAACAACAAAAAAG